ATACTTTACTAATTTATTTATTTAGTCTTCTAACTTTTTACTAATTTTTACTAATTATTACATTTTGACTAATTATATTTTTACTAATTATTATATTTTAATTAATTATATTTTTACTAATTATATATACTTCCCCAATACACTTTACTAATTCCTTTATTTACTAATTACCTACTTCCCTTTTTTGTTATCAATACTAATAGCACATATACTTTACTAATGTATTTATTTACTCTTCTGACTTTTACTAATTTACTCATTTACTTGGTCTGTCTTACCTCTCCCGACAGATCGGCGAAGACCTCGACTCCGTTGACTCAACGGCGAGCAAAATAACAAAATTAATTGATTTACTTTTACGCGGTGAAGCACCGAAGCAAATCGGAATGGAATTCCTGCCGAAGGTTGTCGAATCGATCGTTTGTCCATCGATCACGCTCGCGTCTCTCCGCGTAGGAGGTAGCACCGCGCAGGTAGTTTTACCACGCTCGATCTCGTTTAAATATTTAACGCTGGTCCTGCGTATAATTCACCTTCGGTTCGATCGGCTCGTTATAACCGGACTGTGACAGAGACCGGAAGAGGTGGAGCCTGCAAGATCACAGTCGGTGATCGTGATATTAAAGTGCAAATGATCGCACTGTCACCAGTTGCAAAACGCCATTACGTTGGTAACAGTGGGGCCTGTGCCTCCTCCGTTGTCGTCGCGAACTTGCAAAATAGTCTGACACTCTAACCACCATCTCCTTTCCCAGTTCTGTATACACAAACTATAAAGTATCGTCGTACGTATGCATCTTTCTCTCTATCCATCGATACGGATAGATATTTCATTGTCTCGCCATGGAAGTTTGCCTAATTGTCCTTGAAGTGAAATGGCTAACTAAGTTAAGCTGACTATACTCGTCATGAAAAGTTGGAATTTTTTTGTTCATGTAGAAAGAAAAATTTGCTTTTGCTATTTATTGTAAAATTTCTTTCAGGAAAAAGAATTGTATATGTTATTATTATTATTATTATTATTATTATTATTTTATGTAATTGTATATAATTGTATATTTTATAAAATTGTGTATAATTGTATATATTTTAATTTATTTATATTATAACTGCGGTAATATTTTATTATAATTTTTATTATATTTTAATATATTTTTATATTATATTGCGGTAATTAGTAATATATTTGTATATATTTGTAAATTTGTATATATTCGTAATTTTTTAAATTGTACATACCTCTAGTTGTAGAATAGTTTGTAATATATTTGTATACATTTGTAATTTTTTAATTGCACGTTATTTGTAGTTTTAGAATGTTTCGAGGCAACAAAACGAAAAGGAAACGCGCACTCGAAAGTAACAATTTTGGGAATTGTTCTGAACGCAGAAACAAATTAAAACAAATTAAATTTATCTCCAATCATTTTCATTTGACAAACATTTGACTTTTCACGAATCAATCATGAAAATTCCAGTTCCTTTCTCCGCACTTTGAATTTTTAGTGGAATAATTTTCAAAAAAAAAAAAAGAAAATAAAATATCACGTTCTGTAAATGCCAATAATTTCTTCAAAGAAACACCAAAAATATTGCTGCAACTTCACTCGATCGGCTTACAGGAACCGTGCATTTACCGCGCATATACTCGGGCCATCGCGAAAGAAACAATTAAGCACGGCAATCTCGAAACAAAACAAAACGCTCAAAGGGGTTAATCGTTTAATTACCAGCAGCGGATCACGGATTAATTTCATCTCGCGAGTAACGGTCACCGCGATGAAGAATTCTCTTCTTCTATCCCGTTAACACCTGCCGTTGATTGAGTAACACTCAGTCAGATTTACGCGGCGGCACACGCTCTCCCGAGTTGTGTTGGTGTTGCTGCACACAGCTACATACAACACGCTACAGTTGTTCGATCGATCGATTATTAATAGAGGCGCACGGAGCCAGCACCGCCGTCACTGGTTGGACAACTTCGGAATTTCCGACGTTGCGTCTTGCACGTTGCATCTTAAGTAAAGCTAATAGATGTAATTCGATAAACTTCGACTCGGCTGGCGGTGGGCGAGCCGTAGGACGAAGGAGTTAAACGCTCGTCTCGAAACGAACGTTTGAAAGAAGTTACGTGTGCGTATCGATCACAGTTTCGCATTCTAACACGACGAAACAAAGTTATCTTTTCTTCTTTTTTTTTTTTTTTTTTTTTTTTTTTTTTCTTTTTTTTTTTTTTTTTAGTTCCTCGTTCGAACTAAAGTCGCGGTACCACAGCAACTCCGACGATGTCCCTAACTTCTTTTCCCTCGACTTGGCAACGTCGCGTCCGCGAGTCGATCTCTACGTCTAGATGCAGATTGCAGATGCAGCGAGAGGTTAATCCCGCGGACTCTCTCTCTCTCTCTCTCTCTCTCTTTTTCTCTCTCTCTCTCTGTCTCTCTCTCTGGGGTTTTTATACAGTCGCTTTTCACGACCTTTTTCTTTTCCCTCGCCCCTTCGTTCGCCTCTCTTTCGCATTAATTACGCACGTCGACACGTCATACACACGGACCATACAGACGGTGCGCGGCGTATCGTTTCAAACGAACGCGTTTCGCGGAATATTTCGCCTCCCTCTTCACGTTCCCGCACGCTAGACACTGAATAATAAAATAATACTCCGGTACAATCGTCTTTATCGGAGGGGCACGTAATGTCTGGCACGTCTGGAGAAAAGGAGCACTAGTTGAAAAGTGATTCGTTGGAGAACGAACAGAGGCGAGACAATGACCGCTACTGTTTCTACGCTCTGGTCCATTGAAACTGCGTCCTTACGACCGTTTCAGGTGTATTACGTATGGTTAATACGGTTGCGTTTCGGTAAAATTGTCGCCATGTTATTACGTTATGAAAACGCCTGACAGTAAAGTAAAAGTGTGCTTCGTAACGTTCTTTGGAATTTCATGGCCAAAATTTTCTAGCGAGTAATCGAAATTCTTATCTGTAATCTGTACGAGAGGAAACCAAAATTCCCAAATAAAGAGGGAAATTATACAAAAACAGAGTAACGATCGAGATCAAATGCAATTTTAACCTCTTGCGCTAGTAACTGATTCGCGGACCATAACGAGTGACCAAGCCGTATACAATAATTTTTCTTTTCGAATTCATCGGTATATCACTCGATATAAATTACTAAGAAGTAATAAATTTATCATTTGTTTTGCCTAGATTATACTTTAACGTACTTTAATATACTTAAAACTGAGAAAATATTGCAATTTTCGGACCAAAGAGGTTAACCACTTGCGCTGGCAACTGATTGCGGACCATAACGAGTGACCAACACCGTATACAACAATTCGCCTTCTTTTTGAATTCATCGGTGTATCACTGGATAGAAATGACTAAGAAGTAATAAATTTATGATTTGTTTTGCCGGGTTATGTTTCAATATACTTAAAACTGAGAAAATATTGCAATTTTAGGCCAAATATTCTCAAAGTGCGCTTAATTTCTTACAGTTGTAACTGGTTCGCGGACCATAACGAGTGACCAAACCGTATACAATAATTCGTCCTCTTTTCGAATTAATCGGTATAGAAATAACTAAGTAATAAATTTATTATTTGTTTTGCCTGGGTTATGTTTCAATAGAAACTGAGAAAGTATTGCAATTTTGAGCCAAATATTCTCAAAGTGCGCTTAAACTCTTGCAGTTGTAACTGGTTCGCGGACCATAATGAATGACCAAACCGTATACAATAATTCGTCCTCTTTTCGAATTAATTGGTATAGACATAACTAAGTAATAAATTTATTATTTGTTTTGCCTGGGTTATATTTCAATATACTTAAAACTGAGAAAGTATTGCAATTTTGAGCCAAATATTCTCAAAGTGCGCTTAACCTCTTGCAGTTGTAACTGGTTCGCGGACCATAACGAATGACCAAACCGTATACAATAATTCGTTCTTTTTTCAAATTCATCGGTATATCACTGAATAGAAATGAGTAAGAAGTAATAAATTTATCATTTGTTTTGCCTGGGTTATGTTTCAATATACTTAAAACTGAGAAAGTATTGCAATTTTAGGCCAAATATTCTCAAAGTGCGCTTAACCTCTTGCAGTTGTAACTGGTTCGCGGACCATAACGAGTGACCAAACCGTATACAATAATTCGTCCTCTTTTCGAATTAATTGGTAATAGAAATAACTAAGTAATAAATTTATTATTTGTTTTGCCTGAATTATGTTTCAATATACTTAAACTGAGAAAGTATGGTACATCCTTTCAGCGCAAGAGGTTAAGAGTCATACGTCTATTGTTTCACTGCTTCAGGACGTTCTTTTCTATTGAAGTTGAACGAGACAAACGATATCTTCGTGATTATAAATACTAATAAATTAACATGCACGAGTGATCGATAGATCATTAACACGTTGAATGCCGAATCAAAGATTAGCAAAGACACAGAACTTGAATGAATGTTAATACTTTTAAATTTTTCGATATCAGTTTCGTTGCTACAATGGTGTGAAGAAATTAATGCAGCGTAAAGCGCGCATGAATTATTCTATTTATAATACGCATGCGTAAATATTATTCGCGCATATATATATATGGTAAATAAATACACAATGCGTGACGACTTTTCTGGTACAATTTTTTGCTTTTGCTGAATCTAATTGTTTTGAATTTTTCCCACAACATCTACAAAACTGTCGCCTAAAATTTCTTGCCATCATTTTCATTTTATGTTTCCTCTGTATAGTATTCTCTATAGGCTTGCCCGTAAATATCCTCGATTTCGCTGTATCGTAAGAAACAAGTGAAAATCGAGGAAAACGCGTTTCAGCGCCGTTCCAGTAAATTAAATCCATTAAACGCATGCTTCAACTTATTTCACCATAATACCGATAAATTGCGACGAACAAGAAATTCAGCGCGGCGTTCAACGTGTTAACAATTGAAAAAACGCAGTGACGAAGAGTAGACAAGCGAGTTGAAAAAATTAC